CCTCCTGAGTCATCCAGGGCTTCCGGTTTGGGAAGACCCGGATGCGTTTATCCACAGCTACAGTGTAAGACTCTTCTGGACATAGAAGATTTGTAAAGCAAAGCTAAAAGGCATCAAAGCTAATACAACCCAGCTGACTGATGCTAATCTTTCCTCTGCACTATTTATAAGGCTCTGGTGGTTGTACGAGTCGTGGCTGCTGGCAAACGTTGCAGAGGGTTTCGGGTTTATGAGGAATTCACACAGCGTCGCCTGAAATTTTCAGACAAAATGCATGCACTTACTATACTGCAATGCACTTTGGTTAAAAGCCTCCTGTAAGCGGAATATATTACGAGTGCAGCAAGTGCTTAAAAAAAAAAAACTGCCTCTACACAAATACTACCATCTGTCATAAACAAAGCTGCGGCCAGCACTCCAGGGCCACTGCAAAACGCTTTAGCTATGGCCGTCGTGCTCAAAGTCGGTCCTCGAAGGGCTGGTGTCCCGCATATTGTAGTACTTTTCCTGATTCAGCACAGCTAAATGATGGGACAACAACAGGCCTCTGCAGAACTCTGACATGCTGATTCCTCGCTAATCAAGGAGCATTAATTACCTGTTGTCTCTTTTCAAACTCCAGTTTAATGGGGGACTTGATGCAGTTGCAGGTGTCTTGGTAGGTCTGCTTCAGCGCCAACTCCATCAGATGCTTGTGGTACGCCCCAGCCATGTTCCCACAAATAAAAATAATAACATTGGCTAAAATCTGAGGAGATATGCAGACAGAAAGACAACGCTAAATCTCAAGTTCACAAAACCATGCTTAATTCAACAAGTCTAAAAAAAGTCTGGCGTTGCAAAATTTTGGAAAACTGAAAGTTTTGGATTTATTGAAGTTATAGTTCATTTTTAAAGATGGATAAATTCACTGATGAGGACAAACAATAAGGTTCAACATGGTAGCTGATATAATATAAAACAGAGTTGAATAACTTGGATGTTCTTCTGGGGTGAGGGGACGAAGAAAAGACATTGAGCCTGGGCATGTCCAGAATTATGATCACTGGACACAAATAAGCTGGAGGTAGTGCTGGAGATCAGGCAAAACCAACAAAACCAAGATGGAGTCATTGCTGAGGGTGAAAAGGGAACAAGTGGATGTGGAGATTAACAATCCACAGTCTGACAGCTTCAGAGTTAAGAGTTCTCTGCTGGGGAAAAACAAGAAAAAAAATGAATAAAAAAGTTAAAAAAAAAAAAGTAAATCACTTCATTATCAATTAGGTGTACCACTTCTTGTACACCAATTACAAGAAGAAGTACAATTCTATGGCTACGTTGCACGCGATAGATTGCAAATAAATGATATTTTCATCTCGGTTGATATTAAATAATGCTCTCATAAAACCAGCTTAAAAACACCTGTAATAATCTCTTCCAGAAGAGAATTTGGATGGAATAAAGATTTAATGCAATCTTTTATTACACCTTGTATTAAAATCAAACAAATAAAAGCAAAACAACAATGCTGAAGAGAATGTGGTCACATCAATGTCCATCACATTAATGTCCTTTGGTCACGTGATAAATGACCCAATCGTGACTGACAAGCTGTTAATTATGAACAAAAACTAAGAAGAAAACGAACAAATAAAAACGGCAAATGTTGGCATTTTATTTTACAGAAGCTCGACTCTCGGAAGAAGGGCAACTTCTCAATTCCTGAAGATAGTTAATGTCATTAGAGAAAGTGATTAGGACGCCTCTCTTTGAAGGTCTGCTGGCCATATTTGATTGGAAAGAGACTCCGAACTCACTAAAGGGACTACATTAAAAGCATTTGCCTTACAAAATTCTTCCGATTTTCCTTTTCTTCCAGATCTAAATATTTCAAATCATTACACAAACTAACATTAGAATGATGCATTGAGTAAAAAACAGAGGAGAATGGGGGATTTTTTTATTTTACATTGTAAATGATTTTAATAACTATGCAAACTAATCTGGCTCTATGGTTTGGGATGACATCTTTTGAAACATGAAATGTAACGTTTTGGAAGGTGCTCAGCCTGTTACATCCTGTGTAAAGCTAACACAATATTGGAAAAAAAAACAAACAACTAAATTGAAATGTGATGATGGTATGCTGATGGTATTGTGGTTGCTTTACCGATTCAGAACCTTGGCACCGTGCTATAAATAAGGAGACAATGAATTCTGCTCTCTAGCAGACAAAAAAAAGAAGAGCAGAGCAACCAGTTATTAGGTATGGATTGTGGATTATTCATTTTGTCACATAAGGCCTGGTTGGTTCAGTGAGTGTTTTTCCCTTAACATATGAAATCCTAATTTAAAACTATTTTTTTGTATGTGCTCTGGCTATCTTAGTCTAATATTAAAATTAGTTTGATGGTAAACTAGACCTTTTTTTTTTTTGCAGCTGATTATGTAAAAAATCCAAAAGAAATCTATCCTGGTTGTACTTACAAAATGTGAGGTGTCTTAATATGTGGAACAAAAGAATGAACAATTTAAGAAATAAAATCCAATACATGTGAAATCAGATTACTTAATCTTTAGTTAGAAAAAAAGATAAAAGTATGTGAGCGTAACACCAATAATTAAAACATGTTCAGTTTCCACAAGATCACAGTAGAAGATGTGCATTCCAATTACTGCCCAATCTCCCACCTCCCTTTTCTGTCAAAAGTGCTGGAAAAGGCTGTTACCGCTCAGCTGCAGCTCCATCTACAACAACAATCTCTGTACGAGAAATTTCAGTCTGGGTTCCGTTCTGCTCACAGTACTGAGACCGCTTTGCTGAGAGTTACTAATGATGTCCTCATGGCAGCTGATACTGGTTCTACTTCTCTCCTTGTTCTGCTTGACCTTAGTGCAGCCTTTGACACTGTGGACCATAATATCCTCCTACACCGTCTTCATGTGGAGGTCGGTCTCTGTGACACTGTTCTGGACTGGTTTAAATCTTTCCTCTCCAATCGGCTGGAATG